GTCGAAAAGAAGAGAGGAGGAAGGTAAATGTTGAGCATTTCTGTTTAGCCTTTCGATTTGATCCAAGAACAAGGTTTCCTTGAATAGTTGCTCAACTACGTTTTCAATGCAGGGTACGGGGCGTTCACCATTACTTGAGCACAAATACCAAGTTGTCTCCAGACGAAATATCTTTGGTGACCGATGGTGATCCCTACAGAAAAATTTCTTCCCAACATACAACATAGGAGGCAATTTATAACTTCTGTATAGGTTTAATACTGCACAAAAAGCCAGCTAGAAGAGCGTTTTGACGTTTGACATAGGATAGGTTCATGCAATTTATTCTTGCCTACGATTATTTTTAGGGGCTGAGGTTGTGAATTGAACTTGAGTGACAAGAGCAGCAGGAGAGGAAGGATGGGTTAACCCATTTATGAAAATTGATTTTTCATCTTTGCAAAGCATAAATTAGTTTCTGTACGAGGGAAAAAGTGCATACGGTTAGGATGTAGTTTTGTATTAGAGATACGTATTTACATCCCATGTTTATTAATTCAGTACAAGTTTTTGTATACGAGAACTATGATTCCAAGAGAATCTTGCATTTTTGGTTTCATCATTCTTTTAGAATATTTGAAGTTAAAAGTAAAGATGTCTAATCTGTATTCAACCTTATAAGATTCAATAGTCACATATAGGAATTTAGGAAATATAAAAATGAAGAAAATAAGATAAAAAAATTAAAAATAGTATATTGAAAAGGCGCATGCTTTATGATAGAAAACACCCAAATTTTAATTCAGCTCCTATCTATCTCACACCTAAAATAATATTTTTACCTTAAAATATAAATAATTTAAAATAAATCACCTAAAAGAATAAAAATGATACACTTTTAGTAGGTCTCAAATAGGACTGGAAACTCAATAGGTGTTCACCAAATTTTTTCTATCATAATTTATATAGAAACAAGTATTCTTTGTATATAAAGTACTGCTCACTATTAAAACGAAGACATGTATGGATCAAGAATAGCCATACATATTCCTACTTTCATAATATACAACGGCCGAAACATCAACATCACGCATGGACACTCTTTTTTATATTTATTAAAGTAAATGTTAATGAAATGTTTTTCTCATTACAGATTTATAAGTTTTTTTTGGTACATTGATTTATATATTTACTTTACTTCATCAAAATATTTATGAAAAATTAAAGATACGACTTATACTTTCGTATTGGATTGTGGATTTTTCTTAGTAAAAGCGAAAATTCTAGTATTTCTTTTTCACAGACAGATCCTTGAAAAATGGTAATACTGGAGTGTTTTGGTTAGAAAGGCCATAAATACAAATTTGATAGTAACGAAATAATGATTATAAGGTCTTAAAAAGTGTTGGTGTGTGGTGATAGAGCACTATGATTCTGTTGTTTATTTTATATTTCTGTTCCATTGCTTTTGGCATAGCAAACCTGCCACTTTCCTGGCTTCACTCTGCTCAGTCTCTCCACAGAACTTTGGTGGCATAGACAGCCATAATTGCCATCACTGCTTTTTACTTTTCGTTTTCCTTTCCCTTTCCAAATCTCACCACCCACTATATCCCCAACACCATTTCGTCACTGGTTTTATATACAAGACAGAAAAAAGAAGTTATTTTTTTAAAAAACTAGTAGTTTGACACCTAAAGAACCACTTCACAAGCTACTTTTTAAGGATAAATTTATCATTATTCTTACAAGGAGAAAGAGCAAGCATGTGGAATGTCTAAACAGGGAATATGAACTAGTAGTATGAATTTGAGTCTAAGATATTTTACTCTTAATTTTATGCTTTGACAAAGGATGAATATCAAAATTTTAATTTTAAAATTGTAGTGGAATCTATTCTTTATTTGTATTAAAGTAATAAAACTATATGATTTTTATTCTTTTAATTTTTTCTTACTTATTTCTCTGTTTAAATCTTTATATTTTCTTTTCAAATCCAAACAGGACACATATCAGCATCAAAAGAGAAAAATATAATAAAAGCGAAGTTATATGTTGCAATAAAAATAAAAATAAAAGGATAAATATCAATTAAGTATTTAAGTTGTGAGTGTTTAAATACGCAGAGAAGTGTTTAAATACGCCGATGCCTATCTGTTGTCTAAGAGGAAGAAATGTAGAAAAAACATTGAAAAAAGAAAAGGGAGCATTAAGGATGATTGTTAATAATGTTTTAAATTTAGAGAGTGTGGTATTGTGCATGATGAAAGAATATCGATGGCATTTTTATTTCAGTACTTCACGAGATGCTGAACGCTATTTCGTCTCTACTCTCTTTGTTGCGGATTTCAATGTTAAGGTGAATGAATGACATGCTTCTCCCATTTAAGGTTATTTACATTGCTCAATCAAAACTCTTTATGCTCGTCAATCAATAATGCATTGTAAGTTGTAACTCTCTCATCTGCCTATAAAACATGTTAGTTTACGTTTCTTTCAAGAAAACCAAAAACAGAACGTTTGTAATTTAATTTCAATTTCAATTTTTTATAAATTAATAAATCTTCTGAATAACTAAGTTTAATACTTTTGTAAAAAATTATTGAATTTAAATACATAATTAAAAGAATAAATTGTACTAATAATTTGAATCAAAATTTTGTATGAAAAATAATTTTATCATTTTGGCTAGAGAAAATAGAGAAGACGGAAGGGTACATGATTAATTATTATTATTATTATTTAATAATAATATTACTATTTTACTATATTATTATTAATAAATTAATAAATGAAATTTTCAGTTTAGTTGGAATCAGTTTCTTTATTAGAATCGAATCTATCATGTTAAGCAATATGCTTTCTCCAAGATTAATATCAGAAGGTTGATTTTAGAGGGATAAAGTTGATTTTTTTAGATCAATATTATTAAATTCTTTCATATCTCCGCTATATAATAAAGATGGAATTAATCATTTATCCTGCAAATTCTCTTCTTTTTTCTTAAATGCGAACACAAATAAATCCACGAATTCGTCCGTGCAAACAATCATGAATAATAAAAATTTTCAAAACGAACAAAACTATTTATTTTTATATTTTTCTTTCAACTTATGGAAACAATTTTAAAAAATAAAATCGCGATGGGATATATAAACTTAAATTTAATAATCGATTTAACAATATTATTTTAAGACTAAACAATCAATTTATATATTTTATCTTATCTAATAAATTTAACGAAAATAAGAATAACTTCCATTATTTATATTAGATAACTCTATGCAAGTTGAAATTATCCATATTATGGTACGTTGGACTCTAGTCATGTTTAGTGTTCCATCTTAAATTCATATTTAATACAAAATTACATCAAACTCAAGAAGGAGAAATTATTTTCCATGTAAAAATAAATATTAATATTAATGATATGAATGATGTAGATGGTGCAACAACAACTACTGTGATTCCAATCAGTCTATGAACGAATCTAATACACCAAATTACCAGAGCACCCTTCCGACAATTAATTAGGTTTAGGAGTTAAGAGGGGGTAAGTGAGAAAAGTGAAAAAGGGTAAAATGGTAGTTTTGATGTATAGTGAAGTACTTGAGTTGGTTCAGCGAGGGCTACGGGAGCAATAATTTGAAGGTACCAATTTCTGTGCTTCCATTACCAAACAAAACAAAACCCAATTCACGAGGCTCCCTATATATTTCTGACACCCTTTCCTTTCTCTGCATAAATAAATAATCATCACATTAATTAATTAACAACTAAACAAAACCCTTTTATTATTATTTTATTCTTTTCAAATTTGTTATTATTATAGTCTGTCAGCTCTGCTGTCTGACCACTGACGAGTGAATGAGAAGTAAAGCAACTCTTATTTTATTATTCAAAAAATATAAACTCTCCTCATTTAGGTTTAATCAGTGCCACTGGTAATTGATGCCAAAACCCTGATTTCAAGATTCTATTTTTATTGTGTTGGACGAGAAACACAATCACATTTGAAATCCTACATTTATTACTAGTTATATGTTGGTATTTTTATATGTTTCTAATTATATAATTCTTCATGCCAAAATTTATTTGTTTTTATTAGTCTTTTCCTATGCCCTTTGCTCTGATCACCGAGACCATCATGAATTGATTTTATTTTGGAAGGTGAGGTTATCCAACTCAAGCTTTCACCCAATATTCAATTTGAAAAGCTACTGGTACGATAGAGTTAAAGCAACGCAGCTAATGACAGTTATGGAAATACTGATTCTGTAATCGTTTTTAAAGAAAAGTTTAATCGATCTACTTTGGAAGAAATAAAGAAGTTAATCTAAATAGGCACAAACGATTCCCCAGGCAAACCCAGTTGGATACACTGTTTTGGTGAAAGTGGCTTGCATTTAAGTTCACCTTCAAACAGTAATATGCAGAGATCGACTGTGTATGCTTCATTCAAACATTTCAAAACCTTTGTTCCTGTTGTGGGTAATTCTTAATCCCATCAACTTAATTAAAAGTTCATCACTTTTTTAAACCATTTCTAAATAACGCATTTTTCATTATGAGATTATTAGAATGCAACCTGATATGATTCAAACATTGCATTTTGGGTCCAATACAAGAATTTTGGATCCATCATATATACATTACTGATCTGACTACTGATGGACCACTAAACATCATGCGGAACGAGGTAACACATCATGAGTTATGGGAAAATCGGTTTATATTGTTATTGTTATGGCTTAACGATAATTGTTTATTTGGACAAAAACAGTATTACTAGAATGGTAGAAAAGATTGTGGAAGAGATGAAAAAGATTTCCGAAAAGATCCTGTTATGCATCATGCATAATACAGACCTCAGATTCCCGTGACACTTTAATAAAAGGCCAAGCCTTGGCAATTGGCATCACATTTTACCCTCCTGCATCACCCTCTCTACCTACTCTGCACCTCTCTCTCTCTCTCTCTAGGAACTAGCAAGTGCAAGTGTGTTTTCCCAACTATAGTAATCTGTCAAACAAAACTCCTGCAACACTCTAGCACCTACACCCTCTTTATCTGGTAATAATAGTACGGTGCCACACTTGCGGTTGCATAAATCAAGTGTCGCGTGTGTTCTAGAGATCAATGCTCAGTTCTTCGGCTTCGTTTTTGAGGGTGAGGGAAGCGTGAATCGAATGGAAGGGTTTGACATGCACGGAAACGAGGAGGGTGGGGTGATGGGGAAGAAGAGGGTGATGGTGGTGGTTGATGGAACTTCACATTCCAAGCATGCGATGATGTGGGCACTTACTCATGTAACTAATAAGGGTGATTCCTTGACTCTTCTTCATATCGTACCTCCTCACAAGGGTCCTGAACCTTCTTCTTCCACCTATCTCGTCAATTATCTCGGCTCTCTTTGCAAAGATTGCAAACCAGGGGTAAGTTGGTTGTGTTTCTTTGTTTGTTACTTCTTCCATTTCATATACTGTGTTCAAATACAGAGGCAAGGAATAGTGTAGATCTTGATTCAAGTTGTTCTTTTGTTTTCAGTGCTGTTCAATAACAGTGGATTAAGAAGTCCCTTCTTCGATCTTTTTTTTTTTTTCATATCACCTCTTTTGCCATTGTTTCTTTTCCAGCTTTTCTTTTCTTTAGATGGCAAAGGGTGTTGGCTTCTTGCATTACGCTCTTCTTTTGTTTTCACTTTTCAGAGAGAAATCATGAGAAGTTTTCAGATGTTTCAGCTTTTCTTTTGACAGTTCTTCCTATGTTGTTCCCACCCTTATTGAATAAAGAGTTACTGATAAGGTTATGGTCTGACATAGGTTGAAGTGGAAGCGCTCGTTATCCAAGGACCAAAACTGGCCACAGTAATGAGCCAAGTAAAGAAGTTGGAAGTCTCTGTCCTGGTACTGGGCCAAAAGAAGTCATCTTCTCTTTTAAGTTGGTGAGTTCTATACCAAATTTTAAACTTCCTGTCACTCAGTTTGAGTTTTAAGCGATTCAGTGTATGCAGTTTATAAGTTAAGAATTATTTCTGCAGTATATGTGGAAGCAGCGGAAGCGGTTGTACGGAGGATTTTGTGAATCATTGCATCAATAAAGCAGAGTGCTTGACAATTGGAGTGAGGAAGAGAAGCCAGGGCACAAATGGATACTTCATTAGCACTAGGTGGCAGAAGAACTTCTGGCTTTTGGCTTAGATTGAAAATTTAGATGCCGCTAGTTCAGATCCTAGAAGGGGATAAAAGGGGTAAGTGGTTAGAGCAACCTTTGTATCTGCATCGTCATCTATAATCTATATCACCCTGTAACTAGTTCTAACTATATCTTGTCGAGTGACCAAGAAATCTGACTTTTAATAAAAATAATTTAATTGTCCATGCTTGTGAACATATGTTTTGTTACTATGTTCTTCGGTGTTTAGAGCTGGTAGAAAAAAGTCATCGTCAAGGAGCCACTAATTTTTGCAGTGCCATTTATTGAGGAGTGTACCATATTTATTAAAATAACTTAAACTATTTTTCGATTTTAAATAATAAAATGTTTACATTAAATTTTAATTATACTTTCATAAATTAAAATTTATATAATAAATTGCAGGGTAAAAATACTAGTATTATAAAAAGTAGCACATTTCAATTTATCGTTTAAGTTATCTGTATTGTCAATCACATGCAGTTCACCCACTCTTGGCGATTAACTAAAAGAAACAGGCATTTTTTTTTTTGTCAATAAACGTTGATTGTCAAAATTGCTATTATATGAATACGTATTCACTTTCGAAAATAAGAATAAGATTTTTATTTACAGTGCACGGCATCAAACGGGAGAAATATAGAAAGGCCTATTAAGGGAAAAAGAGAGAATTGATAAAGATGGAAGAGAGGTAGGATAGTAGAAGAAAAACGAAAGAAACTTGTATTAATAATTTTGGGTAATCTAACAATAAATAACGGGTAGTCATTTTAGTGTATTCGTACCTATTGCTATTACTGCCTTTAAAAAAAGGCTGAAACACAACTTTCATGCGTAGCTAAAGAAACTACTAGACCTTATCTTCTAATTTATCATTTACAAGAGGAAGCAACTCCATCTTACTCCGGGGGGTCCTTGGAGTCCTGGGGGTCCGAGGAGTTCCAGGGACTGCTGGCTGTTGGGAGAGCATGTGCCTCACATAACCATAGAATGTACAGCCCACAAGAGTCACGGCACATCCAACAGAATTTAAATATGAAATTGGGTTTCTAAATATCAGCCAAGAAACAAGGACAGCGACTGCAACCTGCACAAAAAACACGATTCTGATTAATTTGAAAATTGTCAAATACTTCTTACTTCGTTCTCATTTTAATAACAAAAACAAAAAGTGATAATAAACAAGGATCTTAGTAGGAAAGTAAATTATTTTTTCTTTATATTTTAAAGTTAGGAAAGAGTTAAGACTAACATGTTCCAAAAACTCATAATGAAAAAGAGTCATAGAGGAAGTGAGATTTAACATATGGTTCAGATTCACCGACATTAATTATCCTTTGACACAAAGCACATTAGCATGCACTTAATGAAGCAAAGTCAAAGAATGAAGATTAATTTAATAAATCCAAACAAGGGAGTAAATGTTAAGCTAGAATGAAATGTAATCTAAAAGGAGAGAAACGCATCTCGTGCAGGAATGATGATATAATACACAATTTCTCAAAATACATTAAGTGCAAACCATGATGCTTGAACTTATACGTAATAAATCTCACCTTAAGATTTCCGGCAACATTAAATGTTACAGCAGTGGTGGAGTGAATCACGTAAAAAATTGAGAAGTTAAGACAGAAAGCCAACACCCCGGAGCTAAAAATAATGATGAGAGCCGACCAAGGATATGGATGGGTACCAAACCATTCAAGGATTCCATTGCCTTCAAGTAACAGTGCAGGAAGCGCCAAGATCATGGTTGCTAAAGGTGCCATGTAATAAACTGTGTTTATGCTAAATATACATGCAAAGAAAAGTTAGTCTGTGTGCTGCAGAAAAGTCATGGCAAAGCTATTCAGAGAAACCATGTCATGACCCGAGTAGAATAAAATAGCACAGCCAAGACAAATACAAAGAATAACAATATGCCAATCGTCATTGCCAAAAGAAAAACGTCTTCGGTGCAATTTCTGCGGAAAAATGAGTATTTCACTTTACTCGCAGCAGAGCTATACATTGTTGCGAAGACATTCACTCAACCAATATCGACCCCATGGTAACTCTTCTTTTCTTTGACAGTTTCACTCATCTATCAGTTTCTACTTGCTACTTAATTCAGTCTATAAATAATCCTTTCTTAACAACATTAAGTAGTTCATTTTACTAAATATAGAACTCGTGACATTGTTCCTCCTTTTTGAGGGAGGACGGACATCCACAACATCACTCTACCAATATTGACCCCAATTATATCTCTTCTTTTTCTTTGACAGTTTCACTCAATTATCAGTTTTTATTTGCTCCTTAATTCAGCCGATAAATAACCCTTTCCTAGCCCAACTCTCAACAAGAGCATATATTGTTAAGACCATGGTTATCAAACTCTCGAGTTAACTCGTAAACTCGCGAGTTTACGTTCCCATACATGGCTTCCGAGTTCGGAAGTAAACTCGTTTTCTGTGGAAACTCGGTAAAATCGACAGTAAAATCGGTAAGATCGTGTAGAATTGTGAGTTTGGAGCGATTCTACGAGCTTGAAAGTTATATATTTAATGAAATGCATCAAAATTAATGACAATAATCAAAGTATTTATGTTTTACAATATTTATTTTTATGAACAATATAACTATAAATTTTATTAATTTAAAGTTATATAATTTTGTAGACTTATTTGAATTAAGATATTATTTATATAATTTTTTATCTGAAATAAACTCTTACGAGTTTACGAGTCGAATTTACAAGTCGAGTTTACAAGTCGAGTTTACTCGACTCTCACGAGTTTACGTAAACTCTCGAATTTGATAACCTTGGTTAAGACAAAAAAGCGTAAGAGTTACTCAACTCAAAAAGACTAGTCCATTAGAGGGAAAACCTCAAGACTGAAGTTCATAGCCCATCCTACTCAATCTAGGACTCCTAACATAAAACTTTTACTAAGGCTTGATTCATGCCCCTGACCTTGGAATGAGGTAACGCCTCCCCTCCTAAACTTTCAAGTATCCAAAAACGTAAAATATCACCAGATAACCGGTGAAAACACTATTCTGTTTCTTTTGAAGCAAACAAATACAAAGGAACTCATGAAACATTGTTGTAAACTTGGCACCTCGACAGATGCTGATCAGAAATGTTTGTACATACCAAGACATACTGCTTAGCTACATGCCTACAACAATAAAGATGCACACGAAGATGTGTGTCTATACTTTGAATGGCACTCTTCAGTTTTAGTATTCTTATATAACACAAATATTGATCATTAATAAATAAAATCACCGTATAAAGGGCCTTCTACATTAACTAAAAAGTGAAACCCAGCAATTTTTTGCTTTGGCTTATTTGCATCTAGTTCTTAGTGATTGACTTGTTGCAATCAAACTAAGCACTAAACAGAACCCAGAGATGTTCGTAGCTCCAATATAGAATACTTCCTAGCTCTACATATGAGAAAAAGGTTAACAAAAAACGCAATCAATGCGGTAAAAGCCATTTTCATAATAAATAATATTACGGACATGGAAATAACGTTGAAGCGGAAAATCTACATACTGGAAAATCCAGAAATGGCAAAAAATATAGAAGGGAAAGAAAGAAAACCAAAATACAGAGTTATCAACAACAAGGGAATTCAAGCATAAAGATGGTACCTGTCAAATTTGTATCCATGCAGAAGAGATTCTGCAAGAATAGTCTTTGTAGAAGTAGCCAGACAGCCAAATAATGCAGCACAAAATCCAAACATGTTAAAACTAAGCTCTGTTACAGATGTCAGAAGAATCCCTCCAACAATGGGTACAAGAGAAGCCCAAATACGCCAGTCAAAATACTTCCTCCACACTAGCCATTGCAAAACAACTGCACCAGTTTACCAAGATTAGATGTAATCGTAAACATCCTCAAATCTGAATGTAAAGCAGGTAGCAAATATGTGGCAGAAATGTTAACACCGATTATTAAACCCACCTGTGGTGGCAGGTGTGAATGACTTTATTGTCTGCATAAAAGAAACTGGAATGTATCGTAGGCTCACATTCCCTAACACGATGTTAATACAGAACACGAATGACATTGGAAAGATTCTTCGCCAGCGATCTTCAGGGTCAACAGTTATCAGTGGCTTAAGTTTCAGCACCTTTATTACCACATATCCCCCAATGGCTGAACAGATAAAGTGGACGCATGAAACTGATAGGGGAAACTTGAAATCCAATTTCTGAAAAAAAAAAAGGTAAACTGTTTATAATCCATACCTCGAATCCTAAATACACATGGATCGTGGAAATTAAGTGGTCAATATTGATAATTTTTTATTGCTAACAGATGGAACACAAGCATAAAAGGTCGGCGATCACAATCATTTAGGCCTCGATACAAAGCTTTATCTACAGATCAACTTCATCATGAAATGATTATTTTAAAACAACACCCTTCCAGATGGAGTTTTGAGAACCATGGATGAAACCAAGAAAACCATAAGACCTTTACTGACAAGCAAAAAACAGAACTGAATCTTGTAGAATATACAAACCAATAGAAAGCCCAATCTCTAAGGAAAAAAGGTAGACTTTATATATGCTTTAAAGACACAATTGCTTCTATTAACAAACTAAACCACAAATACCACCAGTTAGAATAATTTTTTATTTTATTTTAAAATCATACTAAGCTATGTTCCAGGGTAGGAAAGTCACATTGCAGTAACAGTATTTTTCACATTTTGGTTCAGCTGTTAAAACACATGTCAGATTCCAAGATTCAAAAACAGGCGAATTTTGCAATGATTAACAAACAATAATCTCAGGTCTATTGCACCATAAACAAAACATCTAGCGTTAAATTAAATCCATAGCACGACCAGAGAAAATAAAATCAAACAAAGCCCAGGCAAATAACTCGACAAATTAAGAGAAACCTACACCTTGGACGTAGAAGTACCGGGCAATTAACTAGATCATTAACGAAACAAGATTTTTGAAATTACAATCATACTCGGTGGATGGGCTAGGATCACGTGTACTTTTTATTTTATTTTTTAATTATGAGAGAAGAATCACTATCTTGGTTAATTTTTAAAAGGCGCTTCAAACACACACAAAAACTCGATCCAGGCACGCGGCATGGATTTCGACTTAGATATGAAACTCTACAAATTAAAACGCATCGCCGAAAATAGCAATCTACAGAAACACTAAGAAAAACAGTAATCCATGGCAATTTCATTCAGATAGTTTCACGATACGCGAGGCATCCGTGCGGCGGAATCTAAGAAAATCGACGACATGAAAGAAAATAAATCTCATGAATTAGAAAAGAAGAAGCGAATCGGCGGGTGTTTGGAAATTGAAATGAGAGAAAGAAAAGTGCGGAAACCTGGAAGATCCACTTGTTGACGATGATTACGGTGACATTGAAAGCCCACCACTGAAGGATGGACAAGAGAGATCTGATATCGCTCCACTGGCAAACGAAACTCTCTTCCATCTACGGTTCCAGAGGCGCAGCTATTACGTGTTGTGGCTACGAGAATATGAATGAAGAGAACGAAGAGAATGAAGAGGGTCGAACTCGTAACGGTGTATAACGAGTAAGAGGCACCTCTTCTGCTCTCTGCAATCTGCTTTCCCTCTCTCTCTATCTCTCTCTCTCCCTTTTATTATGCAAGAGAAATTTTCGAAACGTTTCGGTTCGATTTCGCTCTCTCCCTATCACGCCATGGAAATTTTATGTTTCTTTCTGCTTTGGTTGGTGGGGCATGTGGGTCCCACGGTATTCCAGCTCCGAGGTTCAGGGTCAATTTTGTCACAAATCAACATTCCCCGCTTTTTCAAAACTCCATTTGTTCTCACTTTGTTTTTCTTTCCCTCCCTATACCCTCAAGTCTTGGTTTTTCCAACAATACCTTTTATTCGGATTTTATTAATCAATGCTTTAACTTAATGAATGGCCGAAATTAATTTAGTTTAAGAGACATATTGTTTTGTTTTACTTGCTAATCTTGTTTAGGAGAGGAATATTTAATATTACTTTTGTAATAAATTATTCTCTTAACGTTTCCTTGTATTGCATTGCATTAATAGCTACAATGGTGTTTTAAATATTAATCTGGTAAATTTTGCCATGCTTAACAAAATCGTGTAAAGGTTTCCTTAATTAATTGTTCCCCGGTATTGTAATGCATTCGAGTATTCTTGTGTGTATGCATGGTTCAGATTGATGTTTTAAATATTAATCTAAGTAATATTAAGTTCGGTGATTTAATTACATTGTTATTATATTCAAATCAAAATCTTAGCCAATATCATGGTCGAATTAGTAATTATTAAAATTGAGACTTCTTTTATAATATAATAGCAAATTACCTCATCTTTAAATAGTAGTTAAAGTAATAATACTAATGCTGCTATTTTTAAAAATGGTAATATTATTGAACTATTAATAAAAGATCTTAATTATGGAATATACTATATTTCGATATTTTATTAAAAGGATATATCATATATTTTAATCAATTTAAAACAAGAAACGTGAACGGAAATGACGACTGTGATATGTCTTTTTAAGGATGTTTTATCTTTCTCTGTATTACTTCAAACATCATTATAGACTGATTTTGTAAGTTTTACTTTTTAATTACATTTTCTAAAAAAAATAAAGTTTAACTAAAAACATCTTTATGCTAAAGTAAACGTGTTTTGATAAAAAAAGAAAAGAAAAAAAATGGTTTTTTTCAGAAATCTTAAATTGAAAAATATGTTTGATTTATTGTCTCGTACAGAAATAACACTCCTATATGAGCAAATTTTTAAAAAAATAAATTTAGTCAAAATTCTCAGGCAAAAAAAAATGCTATAAAAATATAATTTTTTAATTAAAATAAAATTTTAATGAAAAAATATTATACTATCCATGTTAAATCAATACTACATTCCTTACTGAAACAATTCATGATTTTTGTTTAATGATAAGAATTTTTACTTTGTGTTTTTATTTTACCTAATTTTAAGTAATCCAAGATGAATCAAATATAATCTAACTTTTTTTCTAATCTAGTTAAATTTATTTGGTTGAATTTGTCATTAAATTGGATGATATATAAAAACTGTTATCATACCCTTTACAGAAAGTTACCTTAAATTGATTTTTTAAGAGAACATAATATCTTAAAATAACTACTTTTAATTGTTGTTTATATTTTTATAAGGTAGCTGCATTAATTGTGACAAATACAGGACTGATATTTATACCAAGAAGCATAAAACTACTAAACAAATAACATTTTTATATATTTATTATGTAGTTGAGTCTTGTTCATCATATTTAAAATTCAATCATGTGAATTACAAAAATACAATTTAATCGAATTTGACACATTCAAAAGTTTTAGTTGGACGAGCTTACAAATTGAATACAACATGGTTAAAATATTTATAAAAAACAAACGATAAATGCTACCTCACACTTTGATTAATAAATTACAGAGATATATAAAGTATAGGAGATTAACGAGAGAGTGAGATAATCACACGTAACATCGTGGATCTAAACAATAATATTATTGTAGTAAAAAAAAATTCAACTTCGTCATTGATTCTATCAATGGTTAAATTATTAAATTACAGGTTGACCTACGTAATTTGTATTTTAAAAATATTATATGTATTCATAGTGTTATAAAATACTTATATGAAATAATAAATTATTTAACATAATTCATAAGCTAGAGTCCAGTAGTCATGATACAGTTATTAATACATATGTAGTGTTGTGACCGAAGCCAACTTTATATACTATGGATTTGGGTTTAGGGTTGAAAAAAAAAATTAAAATTTCGATATTTTATGTTTTTATATTATTAATTAATATTATTTTTTATTATATTGTAAATAGAAATAAAGAATACTTTTTTTTATTTTTATTGTATTATAAATGAAAATAACAAGAAAAATACTAAGAGTAAAATATTTTGAATTTATTCATTAAAAATTCTAATATTAGATAAATAAGTGATATTAAAATGATTTTTTATTATATTGTATTTTTTAAAATTTAAATTGTTTTTAAAGTTTAATAAATGATTCATTAACTAATCAGCTCCGAATGATCCATTTTAATATTAATAACAATATTTCATAAATAATTTAAAATCAATTGAAACACACCTATAAAAAAAATATCGTTTTCTATCAATTCTTTTCCATCATACAACGATGTTACCAATTTTATGTAACTCCTATTTAAATAAAAAAAACTATAATTTAACGCGACATTGTCCTTAACTCGACATGATCGACAATTATAATATAATTCCATTTCCCTTCTCAAGGAAAATCTATGTATATGTTTATAAAATTGAAATGTACAAGTTGACAGTTGTAATAATATAAATAAAACAGTTACAACATAGATAAAATAAGATATTTTGCTGACATGTTATCTTTTAAGTTATTATTTATTTTATTTACAATCATGGATAAATAAATGCTATATACTTTTATAAATATTTTTAATTGTCATAAAAATTATGAACAAATGTAATATGTATTTTACCGGTTACTTATGAAGTATAGATGGTTTCTACTTAAAAGAAACTAGAATTTAAAGAAAAAAGATTATTGTTTCCATAAATTCTTACAATTTTTTAATATATGATAAAAATATTGAACAAAATAAAAAATTAAAGTTATTTGTTGTTACACAATAGGTCCCACATTCATCGAGTTACTCTGTATGATGAATTTCAATTACAGTTTCACATAGCCACCCAACTACCGACAATCGGGATTTGAACTTTATCACATGTTTTGAACTAAACTTAACAAATTACATCTTTATTAAAATGCTTTAAAAAATTAAAAATATTGATACATGATTAAAAGGCGGAATATTCTCTCTCGCATAGCATTTTGATCAGAGAACACAACACTTGAAAATATTTACTAATATAATATACTTTTTAATATAATAAAAATCTTTCTTAAACTATCTAGAGTGACATCCCACGTGAGAGAAACACTCCACATGTTAATAATATATCACAGCTTAAAAGTATTAAAATATTACTAGAAATATATACATATTAACCATTGTACTTGTAAATAAATAAATGAAAGTGTACACCAATGCCGCACAGAATTACCATCACCAGAAGGACCTTCCCTAGTTAACTTCATTCACAGAAAGGACAACATAGAATGAAATTAATTGAAACCAAACTGTTATTAATACTATATTCATAAAATATCTAGATGCAGGTCAAAATATCAAATGTACTTCCTCATCTTAGCGGTAAAAAAGATAAATTATGGTAACGTAGTTAAGATAAAAAGAAAGTAGCATAGACATTTTTTCACCTGTTGGATTCGTAAAAATCAACATTCAATTTAATTAAAGCAATGTTAGGTAAGTTACTTTACTATTCAGCTACAAAAGTACTTATATAACTAATATAATAAACTTTATAATCCTTCTTTAAACGCTGTTTAAGAAGCAACACATTGAGTTCCATTACACTAGTGTATTGCAACAAAGAGTATTAGAAAGACAAGAAAATATATCGTCTTGAGTGATAAATGTTCTTAGAAAGAATTACAACAAAAAAATCTATAGCACTTACAATATTGTTTGAAGAAAATCTTAAGCAACAATAATTTTTCAAAACTTTTAGAATCCGGTCTTCAGAAAACAACTTAAAAACATTCGTAAGCGTTAAAAGAGAGAGTATATTGAAAGCTATAGAATGTTCGTTGCCTTTTGATAAAATGTTGAGAAGTGATTAATAATTGAGATAATAAATTATATCTTAATATAATTAATTATTATGTTTTTCATATAACCCAAAAACCATTTTAAAAAATAATCAATTATCTCCATGTTGTCTAATTGATTATTTGTAAGAACAGACATTTTATATTTGCTATTGATGTTTAAAATAATAATAGTTTTATTATTACAAGGAAGAATAATATTCTTGATATTAATTATTGTTGATTTTATTTAAAAGGCACCTTACATTATTGAAGAAATAATATACATTTAAATTAGTCTCAATTTCTAAACGATTTAAAAATATGCGTAATAAAATAATTATAACTATTATAGTTAATATATTTAGGGGGAGTTGAGCCGATCGCTTTGTGATACAAAAAGGGGCAAAACCTCGGTACATGGCTACGAATAAGCCATAGAACAGTTCTACAATGTTCATTTGTAGCATTGTTTTGTTGGGTGGAGTTTCCGAAGTGGGATAAGCCAAACGTATATCCCCAAACTTGCTACAAAAGTAAAAGGACAAAATTAAACATCAGCTTCCTACTTCCTTCCTTGCCTGCAAATCGATTCAAAGCACCGCTTCTGCAACGTTTCACAAAGTCTACGTCAATGCTCATTCTCCTGTCTTTCCGTTGCTACATGTGCTAAATGTTTGCTTAAAAATATCACATTGTAATAACTAATATACAGAATTATCAGAATTAAATTAATTTCATTTTTATAGGCATGAGATGTGACTAAAAAAGGTAAGAAATGTGGGATAAAAGTTTGGCAAAAGTAATGGTAGTGGTAACGTGATTTGTTTGGAGAAGCTATGAAATAGATAGACATAGTGTGAAATAAGGTGCGGCGTCAACTGCGTGTGCGAAGGGGGAGTTAACTCATGGATGCAAGGTGCCCCAAACTTCTTCTTCTTAGGGACCACGCTAAG